ATCGTTCGAGCAAGATTTTGATGTAGAGCCGTTAGCCGCCCGTAGACGGCAATATTGAATGGGATACGCATAGCGGTATACGTTGAGTCGTGCCATAACTTGCGCCACTTTGCAATCAGCGCATCTTGAGCCTCTTTCGCGGCCTTGGCAGCATCCAAACAATCCTGAGTTGCCTTTGCAATTTCAGCCGCCTCGTACACATGCGGGTGCGCTGCCAAGGCATTGATTAACTCACGCTGTGTATCAGCCACGGCCTTGGCCTCGAGTGCGGCCGCGACAGGGCGTGCGATTGTCTCAACTGTTGGCCCACCATCTTGTATAAAGGCACGCAGCTCCAGAATAACGCGAAAGGAAGCAGCGGGGACCATAAGCAGTTCGTAATACCTTAGGAAGCAACCAGGGAATGCTGCTCGTACAGAAAAGGAAAATGTCTTTTCCTCATCTGGCAGAATAACGCCATCCAGCTGGGCGGACAAAAAAAAAAAGGATTTGGATTGCGCCGACTTCTTCGCCAGGGAGCGAAGAGAGACGTTCAGTTGGTTTGGCTTTCTTTCCCCTTTTTTATTGGACCATACCGAGGGCTGCGGAGTCCCCTTCGTGTAAATGTCATTCTCCCCGCTCCTTGCCGACACTGGCACCTCCTCCTTTTCTTCCGAAGTCTCCAACGGGAAGAACCCGGCCTTTTCTTCATAAATCGTGTCATCGCGGCCTTTCTTCTCTTCTTCCTCCTCCTTCTTCTCCACCTCACTGTCAACCTTTTCATTGCCAATTTTTTCGTCCAGGGCGGTGGCCGGTTGAAACGGTGCCCAACTGTAGTATACCGTCGTCGTGCCGTTGTTATGAATCTTCACTGTACCATGGGCAAGTTCCCCTGGTCGCGCAAAAAAGAGGACACGTGATGTGGAAATCTCCAAAGACGGAGCCCCCGCAACAGTTTCCTCCGTGGACACGGTGAAGTTGACATCTTTGCTCTCCCCCTTACTGCCTGTTTCCTCCACACTGTGAGAGCAGCTCTTCCCTTGTCCATTCTGATCTTTTTGCAGCAATTGCTGTTGTTTCCCTTTGGGTGACAGTGGCGGCACGTGCGCGACAGCCGGCACAGATTTCCTCGCCGCCGCAACCTTATCCTCCGGCTTGGACGTCCATGGGGGTGGCTGGCCACACACCTCCAAATAGGCCCGCGGTAACAATAAGTGGGGCATATTCCGTTCAATCAGCGGGTAATATTGCTTAAACCTCTCTTTGTAGTAGCTCGAGTCACGGAAGGAGACTGGGAATGCGCCCGTGGATGGCCGCTGCAACTCCCTGCTTCTCGCCTCATTCAGAATTTGCTCGTCTGGGAAGACGACGCGGGTATTTGTCGGGTGCTCCACATCCAGACGCCGTTTGTCCGTTAGCTTCCCGTACAACGCGTATGGAAAGTTCGTTTGTCCCGCTTTGACATATCGAATGGCCCCGTTATCTTCGGTGGTACGCAGCGTACTTTCCCACGTGTAATACCCTGAAAAGACGTGAGATGGGGTCGCGTTGTTTACCACCGCAGCCTCTTCCTCACGCACACGAGCCCGGTAAGCCCCTTGTGACATGTTCATGCAGGCTCCACGTATCTGGCCGTTGTTGCCGACGCGGCGGCGGATCTTCTCCTGCACAGCGGCCCATATGCGTTTTTGTTTCTCCCATGTTTCTAACGCCTTTTCCTGAAGATCGCGTTGATCGTACAAATCAGAGGTAACGGTATTCCGCTGAGAATCTCCTGCAGGCACCGTCGCGAAGTGAGACATTCTCTACCACTTTGTTTCTTACTACAGAGACAAAAAAAAAAAAAAAAAGCAGCAGCAGCAGCAGGAATAGAAGAAAAGGAGAATGATCGCTGAATCGCACAATTTAAAAGTGGGCCCGCAAAAAAAAAAAAAAAAAAAAACGCGTGTTGTGTGACATCTATACATGCATGTATATATAATAGCATCTAATTGAATATATAGGTGGAAACAAACATTAAGAGGAAGACGCCACCACTCCATTCCTTTTTTGTTGTTGTTTTTGTTTTTGTTGGTTTGTTTTTCTTCGTCCTTTCGAAAACTCTCGCACTTTATTTTCACATCTCCTTCTCCCCTTGTTGTTTTCTTGTCTTTTCACTGGCTCTCTATTGTGGTGTTCCCTGGCGACGACACACTCGCACCGACGCAATGCCCAACAGCCTCGTAGAGATCCAATATGTTGCCAGAATGAACCGCACGTTCACTCTCTGCAATGACCTGAAGCACAGGCCGCGATCGTGCCATGTGATGTTGAATAAACCGAAGAAACATATGGATCGACGGATACACATGCAAGTAGAGGTCATTCAGTACACATCTTCGATGCAGTGCTCTTGTGGGGCACACCTGAAGCTGCTGACCGAGATTCCTCGTGTGTTCCTCCACCGCCTCCAGCGCCTCCGCCAGCTCAGCCACAATGTTGTCATATGAGACAAAGAACAAAACGACATCGGACCGCCGCACCTCTTCTACACCCCAACGCCGTGTAGATTCCACCTTTTCCGGTGGAGCCCACGGATTCGGGGCTTTCCCCCCACGGTGCACAGAATGCGCTGAGGCTGAACGACACGTCGCAGCACCGTGAAAGTCCTCCTTCCCAGAGGCGTGCTTGTAGTAGTGTGCCAGCCGCAGAATCACACGAATACTGTCCAGGTAAAACGTGCCTCCCATTTGCTCCGCCCGCTGCACCACGCCTAGTTGAATTGACGATGTCACGGTAGCGACGGCGGTGGCAGTAACAGCGTGGTTGTTCTGTGGATTTTGACGCGCACTGTGTAAGTTTGGCATGCGATGCAGACCCGTCGCAGCCCCCAACGGATGCCCCTGCACCATGGAGCCGGATTTCACCGTCCCTCGGGCATTACCGCGGAACAGGCGAGTCAACGCGTGAAGCATGAAGCTGCGCCACTGTTTCCCAGTGGACAGGGAACGGACACCCTCAGCGTCATTCAACGGCCTCGTCTTCTTCGAGTTCCCGCCATTAGTGGCATCCCCTCCATGATCACCATCATCATCATCCGTCTCCGCGGAAGACTCTACAAGATTCTTTTCGGGTAGGGAAATATTAATGCCGCGGGGATTTCGGCGCGGTACCATCACGGTGGGATACTCGTCTTCAAAGTACGAATCGTCCACACCGGCAAGGATGGCCCTGACTCGCTTCTGCACCTCCTCCTGCGTCACGGGCGAAAGCCGACAAAAAGCCACACGATGTATTGCCGCACGCAACTCCCTATTTGCCAGACCGTAACTAATACCTAGTGCACAGACAATTTCTGTAAGCATTTGACGCACCATACTGCTTCCATTGGCTCCTTCACGCAACCCCGACGCCGCGTCTCCAATTAACAATGGTTTTCTTTCCTCTTGTTGCTGTTGTCGTCGAGTTTTTGTTAGGGATGTTGTCGCAAGGGATTGCAAAAGGGAGAGTAGGGCGTTAGGATTCGAAACCAGAAAGGAGCCCACAGTGGCGGGTGAGACAAGAGAGAACCACCTCCAGCAGAGAGCCGCCAATGCCGCATATGTCGCCATGCTTGATGGCCACAACAACATGCTGGAAAGTTGCTCCCCAACCCGTGTCTTGAGAAGCAAATCAGTTATAAACCCGACACACTGCGTCGTGTGCTGCTCCATGATTCTAACAAGCCATTGGCAGCCAGTGGCTACAAGTTCCCCCCACTGGCCACAAAGAAGCTCCTCCATCACATGAGGTGTGCCAGAGTATTCCTGTAGAACTGCAAAGGCCGCCGGGTTTCCTGCAAGTCGAACAACAAATTTTAAAAACAAACACAACGCAGTAACCGTTGCATTGGGGTGAGACACGCCAACTCCAACATGTGCACCCATTCTAATGTAATGTACAACGCCATGATAAGCTCGAGATGCCACAAGCACCTCGGCCGCACCATCCACGGCGCCCAAAGCGAGGAAGATGTTAGCTACATCACAGGCCTGCGTTGGGGTAGCCTGAGGGAGGCAAGACAGAATTGCGTGGAGAAGTTTAGGATGAGTGAGTGCCGCAGCCGCGGTTGTTGTGGACAAACTTACCATCATCATAAGGAGTTCCAATGCACCGCCTATAATGGAGCTGCGGGTCTCTGTCAGTGTGGTATTACGTCCTTGTCTCATTTTCTTCCCAGAATCAACTCGATTCAATTCCATCACGACATCCCCCACTCCCTCAGTTTCGCCATCCTCAAGGGCGACCGAGAGCGCTACCCCCAGTGCGTGAAGGGCATTGTGCTCCACAGTCAGAAAGTCATGCACCAGGACAGCAGCCGCCTTTTTGCCCCATACCGTGATGAGTGAACCAACAATAGCCTGCATCGCCCCGAGGGCTATCACCTGCGTCCGCTCACTTGGAATGGGCGCCACAGCAAAGGCCAAAATATACGGCAGCACACCCTCTACATCCGACAAGATGGTATTCTTATTTTCTGGCAGGGACTCCAGCACTTTTAGCAGGTCACGTTCCGCGGAGATGGGTATGGCACCGAGTTGAAGATGTTGCTGCAAAAGACTCCATTGAGCCTGCAGTGCTAGCACCAGCGGCGTCGGGCGTGCTGCGGAAGAAGGGGAAGAAGAAGATGATGATGAAAAAAACAGCGACGGACGTTGGTGCTTTGGGTCTGATAAAGTCATCCTGCTGGTGGGATGGTAATTCCTCTGCCGCCGCTTCGTGGGTGACAATCTTCCCACATGTGCCATTGCGGTCCCTGATGGCACCCCGCCGCCGTGCCGCTATCGCCTTTTCCTATCGGAAACGTTGAATTGGCCTACGCAATTGTCGCTTTTCCCCTCCTGTGAAACGAGCAGGCACGCCTTGCAATTCACCCACTTTTCCCCTTCCCTTCCTACCTCTATATATATATATATATATGTGTATGTGTGTTTCCCTCCCTGACACGTCCCGCAGCCAGCGAGGGTGCGTAGCGTCGCCTCTCAACACCCCTCACGGATTTTTTTCCCCCTCCCCCCACTGCGCGCTTCCGTATTGGCTGTGAAAAGACAGCAGAAAAATAAAAAGGAAGATGAGTCATCCATGCAGCAGGAACAGCAAAAAACAGGAATAAGAAGGGCATGCGGGCACATGACGCACACCAAACAAAAAAAAAAAAACTCACACATATTGTCTGGAAGATTATGCACAACGAGAGATATTTTAAAAAACAAAAAAACGAAAACAAGCAATTGTTTATTTAAAAAAAAAAAACACCAACAGCAGTAGCCGTACTAAGGGTTACTAGTAATAATAGTACACAAGGATGCCGTGTTCCTCATCATCTATTTTCCCACCAGACTTTCATCATGGCATGAAGCACAATGTCACGCCGCTTCATTTCAACACCAACAAGCAAGTGCAACCCATCCTTGAGCATTCATTGCCACGTATTTTTTGTTTGTTTGTTTGTTTGTTTTTTTGATTTTCCTCCTCTTCCTCCCCCTAACCCTCAATTTTCATTTCCCTCGTTTTTCACTATTATTATTCGAAGCAATGTACACTCGTAACCACAACGCATCATTATTAGCGTAAATATATATATATATATATATATAAGCGGCTGTGCGTGGGAAGAGAAAAGACAAAAGGCCTTGCCGATTCCTTAACAAAATAAAAAGGCCCCGTGAAGAAGAGAAAGAAACGCACAGTGAGAGGGTGGGAGAGAAAACAATGAAGCAATTGTTTCACTCACGTAGCATAAAACTCACTGAGGCACCAAAGAGACATTTTATTTCTATGCTTGTGCCTTTAGAAGGCTCACATCTTTGTCTCCCAACGTCCATTCCTTGGATGCTAAAACTGCGCCTTCCCGCAGAAACGGCGACACTGGTTGATAACGGCGGCAGCCTGCCCTGTCGTTTTTCCCATAATCATCATCATCAGCAGAATCGTCGTTGGTGGTGTTGTGTACTCGGCCGTTTGCATCTGAGACAAACCGGAGCTGCTCTTGTTTCCGCCCCTCCTTACCAAACAAACGCATGAGGCAAAGAGACACCCACAGCACAGCCGAAAGAACAACGTAAAAGATGGCCGCATTTCGGCAGCAGGCCGCCTTCTCGTCTAAAGACCACCCCTCTTTTGCCGAAAGGACCTCAAAGGTCCAGTTCCCGTGCTGCATGAAGGCTGCAAATGTAAATAATATGATCCCCGCCGTGAGAGTGAAGGGGGCACAACAGCCCAGAATGGCCGCAGACGTCATGTATCACACATACAAAGCCGCCTTTCTGTTATTGTTGTTGTTTTTCTAATTTCTATATGTATATATATATTCTTTCCCGGCTTTCCCCGTATTCTCGAGCTTGCGAGTGTCGCTAATCTCTGGAACAAAAAGGCGGTATGGAATCGGATTCTCGCATGCAGGTACGTTTTATGTTCATACACACACACAGACAGAGACAAAGATACAAAAATAAAAATAAAAATCAAAGACTCACCGCGACATGGTTATGCGCAAAACCCTACGGTTTCCTCTCCTTCAAATTTTGCCCCAATAACACTCCACGAACATACGGCGGTGAGAAGGACGACGACGACGTTACTCGGGGTGCTTCCTTAACAGCAACCCCTGGGAACAGTTGCAGCATCAATGAATCCGAATTTTCGCGTTCATTACCAACGACCTCACGCACTGGGCTAGAAGAGGCGGTGCCCGTCATCAGCGATAGACTGCTACCAACTTCACAGGAAGCATCGCCGGTTGTTGGCCGCTGGGACGGTGCTCCAGTCTCTATTTCCGTTAACGACTTTTTCCCCTTCACGTCCAATGGCAGTCGTTCTACGCGGACTTCTGGCTTGGCCTCCAATGGCGCTGAGGTACCCTTCCGCGCGCTCGCCTCCAGCTGCTGCTGCTGCTGCTGCTGCTGCTGCCGTTCTCGTCGTATTTCCTTGGAAATAAGAGCAATGTTGACTCTGCGAAGCGGCTGAGCGGAAAAAAAATTGAAGCTCCCTTCAATGTGTGGTGTAAGCAGCTTCGTGAGGGCACATCCAAGGGCAAGGCCACGATTTGACACCCCTGTAAAGCTGACAAGGTCTATAATATTACATGGACACTCCACCACCATCGTCTGCTTCGACGGAATTGGGGCTTCTTTGCCCTTTTTCGGTGTCTCTGTGTGACTCACACCCGTGGTGTGGCAATCCCTCGCACCCCTCAGTAGTGGCGAGGGGCGGTGCTTACTACCGAGAGGGATGACGTCTAGAAAACGTCGCACAACAAGGCCGGTGCCAAGCAGTTCGCAGCCAACGGCATCAGTTGGTGGTGCCGAAGTGGGCAAAGCGCTATCACGGTTGAGCAAAACTATACCTTGAATGAGCATGAGCTTACGCGGCTCTGCCGTCTGTGGTAATAGTGGTGTTTTTAAGGCACCAGTACCAGCATCCTGTGAGTTCCTTCTAGACACGTCACCTCCTCCATATCTCACTTCTTCCACGCCCGCGGAGGTGAGCATCTCCTCCGTACGCTGCAGCACATCCGCAACTGAACAAAACGGGAACGAACCACATGGTGCGGTTGCTAATGCCGTTGGTTCCGCGTCCGCCCTAATGTGCCGTTTAACGGTGGCATCGATGGCAGTCGGCTCGCCACGTGTGGGCGGAAGCAACTCGATTATGTCATCCCTCACGGCATAAAGAGAAAACCACAAAGATTTGGGCGAATTAGACAATGCACACCACTTCTGATGAAGAAAAGAACTCAACGCTAGCCGGATGACGTCAATTCGTGCTTTGGGAAGCTTAAAGGCACTCTCCATCCTCCCCAATGTGCCCGCACCCTCCACCGAGCCATCTGTAACTTTGCTGCTGCTGCTGCCGCCAATTTGGACTGGAGCGCCAAGCGGGTAGGGTAATGCGTGGTCGGTAAGCAAGATAGAAGGATCCATGTCCACAAAAATCACCACCGCCTCTTCTCTTGTCATAAAATGCAAACCAAGGTCCATTGCGCGCCAAGAACTCCCTCTTTTTCTCTCCCACACACACTCACGCAGAAATAACTCTTTCCTTTTACTTCCTTTTGTTTTTATCTTATATGTATCTATTTACGTATAGATCTGCGTGAACACTCTCTTCAGGCGCTCTTTAAATTGGAGCAAACGGAATGTCCGGTCCACTACCCCCCAGATGAGAGGCGTCTCTTCCCTTCAGGACCGCAAGAAGAATAAAGAATGAGGGCAAAAGAAAAAAAAAAGGAGTGGCGGCGATGCCAAGCGTCATACGTCTTTGGCAATGTTTTATCAGTCAGGCTCAATTCATATCACGTGGCGAAACACGCATGCGCACAATTGACTCCCCCATCCCAAAACTTTCAATTGCAGAGGAGAAAAATCTTATCTTGTTGTTGTTGTTTCTTCTTTTATTAATCGTGAACACTTTTTGCTCTTGTTAAAACCTTCGCCGCAAATTAATTTCCGTCCCATACACAAACAAACACGGAGAGAGAGTGAGGGAGCGAGAGAGAGGTTCCGCCTCCTTTGCCCGGACAGGCAGCGTTCGCACCCCTCCCCCAGCACGGAATACAACAAATAAAGCAGCAGGGAATGTCGCAACGACTCCTTCGTCTCCTTTTTTCCTTTTTTCTTGTCTCTCCCTCTCCCTCCTTACATTAACCGCCGGAGGGCCGCGTTATGCATCAACTCCGATGAAGACAACACTACGGTGCCTTCGTGCCCCTCCTTGTCCGAGAGCTGACGCTGACCGCGCAGCAAACGGACGTCGTCGGCAAATTCAGCCTCCTCGCGCCGACGTTTCTTGAGTTGACTCTGCGTTCTCTTCCGCTCCCCCTTCTCCTCCTCACTCTCTTCCTCGCTCTTGTCACGGCGGCCCGCTCGCCGGACTTTTGCCCGCCGCTGTTGCGCAATCTTGGAGGTGCGCATGGTCTGCTTTGACCGTACCTTGTCCGAGCTGTCCTTCTTGTCCCACTTCTGCATCTTCCGCTCCTTCAGCTTCTCCTTCCTAGACTTTAGCTCCCGCGTCGCTGGACGCTCCCAGTAGCCAATATCCTCGTCCACCTCATCGTCATTGCCCACCTGCAGTCCAGTCGGGGCGGCGTCGGCAAGAGACTTGTCCGCCCGACGTTGCTTCTTTTCGCGAATAGCCCTCGCCTTTCGATTAAGACGTATATTTTCATTATACTCTGCAAGCCGCGCCTCGTTGACACCAGGGACCTGAATGTCAAGGGAAATGGTGTCGGGCGGCAGTTTGTCTAGCAGCGTCGACACCACACGCTCCTTCCGGTGCCTCTCCGTCTCGTGTGGATTGGCGTAGAAAAAGTCCGGATTCGCGTCCCCGGCGCCAGGGACGAGCATCGACTGAAAGCCACGGGAGTGACCGATGCCCAACACATCCTCAAATGGGCAGAATCGCACCTGCCGGGCAATATTACCATAGCCAAGTCCAAATTTCATATACGGTGCCGTTGGCTTGGCACTGGAAAAGATGCCTTTCCACAACTGCACATTTGTGCCACCTCCCATAGCGACGAGGCCGGAACTAGAGATGTCGATAGTGTTGAAGGTGTACGTCACGGCGTACTCCTCCAGGGCACGCAGTGTGCGACAGTCCCACACCTTAAATTTGTGATCCCCACCAAGTGTCACGAAAAATCGGCCATTTGGATGAAATCGGATGTCGTCAATGACGCCCTTGTGACCCTTGAGTTGCACAAGTGGGTCCAACACAACTGGAGACCAAAACTTCACCACGCCACGCAAATCACAGCTCGCTATCACCCCATTGCTCGGATTGACATCCATGCAGGAGGTAGGGTCTCGCACCACGGCGGGCACCTTTGCACCCAGCTCCTGCCCTGTGCTGATGTCCATGTATTGCATAACACTGAAACGAGTAGAGGCTGCGCAAAGAAGCAAGTGCCGTGGCAGATACGCCAGTCGGTCCATGTTTGCCATTTGAGAAAGAATATGCATCTCCGACCCTTCCTTGGTGTACATGTAAACATATTTCTTTTGCGCCAGCGCCGTCATAGTGTGATCAACGAGGAACTTGGCATCATCGACCCGATCCTTCAGCTGAACCTCGCCGTTGAGCGCAAAATCCTTCCAGCGAATATTTGCCACGTGTCCCCGCATCCCTGCGAGAAGAAGATGAGTGCCATTCAAGGAGAAGTCCACCTTGTACGGGCCTAACTTATCCAGCAGCAGCTCATACTTCTTCTCTTGCGTTTGAAGGTCCACAGCAGACACAATGTCGTCCTGAGTGACGCGGTCGGCAACCTCGCGGTCCTCAAGCACCAGCCCCGTGTCTGTCTTTTCCAATTTTGTAAAAAGATTTACACGTGCAACACGCCTCGGGGCATGACGCTGCAACTGTTCGCGTTTGCGAGCCTCTGCATTTTGAAGCGCATTGTTGTCCGTCACCCAGCGACCGCGCAGCTGCCGCTTCTCCTCGTCCAACTTTTCCGCATTTAACTCCGCTCTGCGCTGTCGCACAATCTCCCGCGTCTCCTTCGACACCGCCGCACCCGCAACCATCCCTGCTCCGCTATCCTCTTCTTATTGTTTCCCCTATTATTGGTGAGAAGACACCCTGTTTAAAACAAATTCGAACCGCCTTCCTCTCGTGTCCGCCCCTCCCCTTTCGCCGGCGGGCCACTCGACACCGCAGGAGTGGGACACAAAAGGAGAAAAAACAAATAACAAATGAAAGAGAAGAAAGTCAAGCAAAAAAAGAAAAAAACATGGGCAGAATGCATGGCCTCCAAAAAAGAGAGGCAAACACCAGAATGACAACAGACAGGGAAGGACAGAAAGTGTATGCATGTATGTATTTGAATGGGTTGGAAAAAAAAAAAAAAAAGCGAGAGAGAGGAAACAAGAACAGGATCCACATGCCGTACGGAAGAGAACGATACCTCTAAAAAAAAAGAAGAAAAAAAAAAGACACACACACAAAAAAAAAAAAATTTACTCTTCCACTGTTTTCACATCGGCTGCATGCAACGCTGCTTCACCCCTCTATTCACCCTATTCCCTCCATCATTCTCTCATACTTCTCTCTCTGAGTCTATTTTTTTTTTTTCCCTCCCGTTTCATTTTTCTGTACCCTTGTGTTTGTTTATCTGTTCAGTGTACTCAAGGGTATGCTTAACTACGCTCGAACGTCATTTTACTTCTTTCTTTTTTTTTCTTTTTTCTTCTTCTTCTTCTTCTCGCATTGTACCTCCCTCCTCCTGCTCTTCGCGTCGCCGGGAGATTGTGAGGAAGAAAGCTTTCACCCGCTTGCTCATTTCCACTCACTCCTCGCCCCTCCTGGTAGATAGCAAAAGACATAAGTGTACATGTATTTGTATGTGTGTGTGTGTATCACTGCACAGGGTGCAGATACAATTCTCTGAAGGTACCAACCTTAACGAAGCTGCAAACGACTATGATTGTCATCCCTAATGCTAAGGATTTCAATCAGCTGCCAGCATGTTTTCAAGCTGCTCCAATATCGCACGCGACTGTTCCCAGTAACGCCTCTGCAATGCCTCTAGCTGCCCGTCACCGCCCTCCGCTACTGCTGCTACTCCAGCCGCTTGGCCGCGTGACAATGGCGTGTCTTTTTTCATCGGCGTAGCCCCTCTGGAAGGGGAAGAGAAATGGAGTTGGGTTGGGCCCGGCGCGCAGTTCTTCCCCCCAAAAGAAGGAGCATGAGCTATGCGAGCTGTTTCTGAAACTCGATTGCCCCTTGACGGATCTCCCACCGCAGAAACGCCATGGTTCCTTCCGTGTCGTGCTGAGACGCTGCAAACCGGCGCTCCAGCAACTGCGGCGGCGAGCTTTCTTTGTGACGATGATGACATGGGCGGTGGTGGCGGTGGTGGTGGAACAGACCGCGTGCCTTTCCGGGACTTCGCGGCGAGCCGCACAACATCTCCTTCTGTTGATCGATGATGCGAGTGGTTGCAGCGATACATGAGAGAGCGCTTCAGCGTCTCCAGCATATCAATCGCATCCTCAGCGTCGAGGTGTTCGAAAAGATGAGAAGGTCCGCGGGGTCGGGTATGTTGTCGCATGGAACGACCTCGGCGATTGGTTGCGGACGCCGCCAACGGTACGGAAGTTACAGCGGCTGCTCTTTTCGGATGACTTTTTTGTCTGGACGAATGGGGAACATAACTATTGCCATTTGTCCCGTTAGCAGTGTGAGGGTTCCGATAGTTCCTGCTGCTTCGAGGCGGTTGTGTTGAAAGGAATCTCTTCGGGGAACCCATACGACCTGCGCAACGTGGACGGCCCTCACCATCTGAAAGGGTGTCCCTCTCCCCCTCCTCGTAACCATAGCGCATTCTCCTCGCTGCCGTTTCCCATCCGCTAATACCGCCATGCAGATCTTCCGCTTGTTGCTGTTGTTGTTTTTGCCCTGTGAAGAGCATCTGTCGTCGCCTCTCATCTGACATCAGTGGCGGAGCAGCACTATTCGCTTTGTGATGCTCCTGAGACGAAGCATGGGCCTCGGTCTGGCGCTGCACATCAGGTAAAAGCTGCTTGTACATCGTCAGTTCCCGTCGCGTTTCTATAAGTTCTAATTCTAGCTGTCTGTTCAATGCAGCCAGGTGTAGCAACATTTGCTCCAGCACCTGTACGCGACCAGGGGAGTCCATCCTCACGGAAACACCCTTGTCACCCTCTCTGCCGTGCTGGTTTTGTCCCTCCGCGTGCATCGCTGGCAAATCCTGCAGCACTCGCTTTTTGGGATCCGTCCCCTTCCCAGTTGGAACGGCGCCACCAACCGCCGGCAGTTCCTTCTCCCGCTCCTGCTCCCCGTTCCGCCGTTCGTTGGCCCTAGTCTTTGCCAGGGGAGACACACCCTCGTGCGACTGAGATGTCACCAATTCGGACTGGAAATAACTACTAATGGCCGCCGCGTCGGCGTCTTTTGACGCTTTCACCTCCCGTTGCGTTTGACTTCTTTGAGACCCCGTCGGTCCAGCAGCCGGCATCTCCGTTGATCTTCCAACGCCCTCACGGGGGCCGGCACGTCCCATAAAGTTATTCGCAATGGCAGCCCCGCGGCACGTCGGCCGTGTGTCTGCTGTGGGTGCTACTAATGCTGCGGCTTTCTTCCGCATGAGGGCGAGCACGGCCACAAAACAAAAAAAAAAAAACGAGGGGAAACTTCAACAAGGCAGAGAGCAAAAGGCAAGTTGCGAAGCACGTAAGGGGATGGGAGTGGATGACATACATACGCGTAATTCCATACCTCTTGTTTCCGTCATTTCTTCCATTTTTACATGAAACTCACAGCTAAAAATAAAAAGCAAAGGACTCGCTCTTGCCCTTCAACATCTCACCATTCAGTGGATGGGGCCAAAACGTACACATGCGCCATTCATCCTCCCCATCTTCTTCCCCAAACTTTCTCTCACTTCATTTCACACTCAGTGGTCAATTTTTCGAAAACCCTCTTGCAAGTCCTCACGCATTCGGATGAACTGCACCTTCTCTTCGTTGCTCATGAGTCGTAGCAGTCCCGTCTCTCTTACGCCTTTAATGTGTCCCCATGGCATCAGCAGCAGACTCGCTGTTTCCTTTAGCAGGCGAAACAGCACTTCAACCACAGCTCCACCGAGCCCTGGTGTGCGAATAACCGGACCCATCGCCTCCATGTACGCGGTAACATCCTGTTTATAAATTAATGCTCCCCGATCGGTGACAGTAAATGCCTTCAGGTGCGTCACAATGCCCCGATAAAGACACACACCAACTGTACGCACAAAGGAAGAAGGTCCTCCATCACCGAACAATAGTTGTTGCATGTTCATCGTTCGGGCTCGTGCCCGCACGGCATTGAACACGTCATTGGAGACGTTACCAGCTGTTGAGCCACTCCGCTGTTTTGAACCTGTCGTATATAGACTTGCCACCGAAGAGGAATCCAGCTTGGCGCCCGTAGCCATCCCAAAGACATGTTGTCGCTGAGGCACTTGACCGTTGGAAAGTCGAATAAACTCCTTTGCCTCATCAAACTGCCTTGTAATGTAAAGGCAGAAAAGGGTGCAGGCACGCGTACACGGCTGCGCAAGCATCTCCCCTTCCGCCCCCTTTGCCACCTTCGGCTTGTAGTCATTGCGGTTCTGATAGTGGACCAGGATGGATAAGGAACGAACAATGATGGCGTTGGCGCACAGATTCAACAACGTCTCAGCATTCTCATCCAAGGCCTCATATGCCGATTCCTTTGCCTCCTCTATCGCGGACTCCAGACGAGGGTCACTTTGCAGGAGAGGCATGCAACTCGATGTGATAGCATCATTCAAAATCATCAGCGAGGACTGCACAAAAAGCAACATGCGTAAGCCACACTGTTGAGACTCCAATTTGGTGGGCCGCAGTAACTCCTCCTCGCTTTCAGGCTTCATACGCCAGTGCTCACGATCGGCGCGTAAAGATTCCACCATTTTGCACACCTCTTCATCCATATAATTGCCCATGTTCTCCAGCGACTCCCTAATGAGGTCAAGAACACACACCGTGACGTCTTTTGGTGGTGCATAAATGCGTGTTCGTGCCACCACCTCCGTGAGGCACTCAACAAGCTCCTTTGTCTTCTTCATGTGCGCCTCCCGCAGGTCAAACACCTCATCTGGAAGGGAATGCAGATCTCGGGTGTACTGTTCCTCTAACATCGTGTGGTAACGCTTCAGCAGCGCAAGTTCTGCCTTCTGCTCCACAAAGGCAGAACGGCCTGTAAAGATGGAGTCGACATATTTATTAAGAAAGTCCACCTCCCCCTTTTCAAAGGTGTTGCGCAGCTCTTTAACATAATCTTGAAAAAAGCTGAACACTCTGGCCTGCATGGTGTGCGAGTAAGTCATGGCGTCTGCAACACGCGCTGAAGCCCGCCGTTTAGACCGTGGGGAAAGACGTGTCTCTGCCTCCACCATATCTCGCTCAAAGAATTCCACGAGCTTCAGCTGCTGGGTAACAAACGGCTTCACCACCCCCTCCGTCACCTGTGCAAGCAACTGCTGTCGTGCAGAGTTTGTCGTACCAAAAATTGTCTCCACGACAATGACGTCACGACGAGCGCGGGAAATGAGAAAGTCAAAGGTGCGTTGCAAGTCCGGCTCCGTTGTGCGGCGGTAGTGCTGCATGGCGGAGAGCGGTGCAGATGTCGTTGTCGCGCCACTGAGTGGTGGTTGCGGAGGGAGTGGTTTTGGCGAATATTCGCTAAAAAGAGTTATGCCCATCTGATTGATAGTACGTGAGTAAAAGGCAAAGAGCAGCGCGTCGTGTGAATCCGTGATGCTGGTGTAAAGCCGTGAGACAAGTTCCAGCGTCTTGAGGATGGCACGGCCGTACGGCTGGTGCACTGCAGTGGCCGGGTGCTCCTTGTATAGCTCATTGAAGCAATCAACAAGGTGGAATATATCGGCCATCAGCTCCTGCCGCACCCACTCAACGTACAGTTGAATGTTGGAGGTGTTCCTGACTACGCTGTTCAACTCGCGGCAAAGATGTGTCAGCCGCTGACACCAGTCCACCTGTGCCTCCGTGCAGCTGCGCACAACAAAGATCCGATCGAGGCCAGCCGCCACAGCAGCTGTTTCAATACGATGCATCTTTTCCCTACTACCAACACCACCGCCACCACCGTTTTTTGTTGTTGTTGTTGTTGTCGCCGTCCATGCTGAGGCCTCGACGCTATCTTGAGCCATTGTCCCAACACGACGCCTCAGTTGCCGTGGGCCGCCTTGTTTAAGTGCTCCCCGCGGCCTATCGGCATCCTCCCGGCTGCTGCTGCTGTAGCTGCCGTCATTTCTGCCGCCACCACTCGGTGCATCCCCGGTGCCAGGGTGGAGTTCGGCGCCATCCTTCCGGTTTGGATTATTCCTGTCATCCACATCCTCCTGGCCGCCACTTTCACCCTCCTCACTTCTTGCTGCGGCCCCATCCTCCCCTCCACCACCACTTTCTCCACCTCCCGTCCCTCCACCAACACCACCTCCTGCACCCCCGCTACTTCCTCCAAAGTACATGGGATCCGCCGGTGACACAAGCCCCACCTCCCACTGCGAAGTCACGTTTCCCCGTTGTTCTGCACGTGCCCTTGACAAGTTTTTCAGCAGAGCATTCAACTCTGAATAATTCATTTGTGTGAACATCTTGAAATGCTTCAGAAGCTGTGAGACAGAACGACCACGCATCATCCTTGCGTTGGACTGCGACAAGTGCTGCTCAATCCCTGCTGTCGCCGCCAATGCGTTGCATACTCGGTTCTCGTATTCATGCAACCTCGCCGTGGTGGCTTCTAATCCCAGACGAATTGTTGCCAGCTGCCGCTTCTCACGTATTTCAACACGTCGACATCGAACCTCTTTGCTCTGTAAGGAGCGTTCCTCCTCATCCTGCACCATCTCGATCTCGGCAAGGGCGCTTTCTAAAGTTGTGGTCAGGTGGCTGGCAATGGCCACGTGGTCCTCTTCAGCGGCCACGGCTGCTGCATCCTCATGAAACGGCCGTGTGCCGTCGAGACCACTGTTCTGCAGACCGTCACTGTCACCACTCTCTGTGAATTGTTGCCACGACCTTCCTGCTCCACCTGCAGCAGCACCTGTTGTTGCTGTCGTTGATGTTGCGGCTGGCGATGCGTCTTTCCTCCGGGAAAGGAGGATGGGGAGAAGCACACGGTTGGTGATACTATTGACAAATGCCGGCGCGGAAAATTGAACGGAGCTAAAAACCATACGATCCAGTGTTGGGCGTTGCTGCGTTGGCGGTGATGTCGGTGACGGCGGGTGTGCATGTCTCTGCCTACCCGTGCTAGTATTCACACCGCTGTTTACACCATCCAACCTGTCAACGCCACCACCACCACCACTGCCGCTGGTAGCCGCTAACGATGGGGGGAACGCTTGCAAGGTTTTCCTCGCCGTGCCTGCCCCGCGCCGGACCACAATTTTCTTCTGAACGGGCGATGCCCGTGCCTCTCCCGCACCCTCCGGCATGTCCCCTTCAATTTGGCCCCTCGCTGTTCAGCCCAAAGGCCCCAAATCTTTTTTCCTTCTTTTTGCTAACACGAAAGGGGGAGGTGCGTCGTTCCTTCCTCCTACCTTCATGTGATGAACGGGAGGGCCAAAACACACACACACACAGAGAGAGAGAGAGAGAGAGAAAAGAAGAATAATAATGATAATAATAAAGACGCAAAAAAAAAAAATTATGGAAAATGGCGGTGGTGCAAGCAGCGGAAAAAACGCACACACAAAGAAAAAAAAAGAAAATAATAATAATAATAATAAGCGCAAAAAAAAAAAAAAAGAAATCTATAAAAAAAGAAAGAGAGAGAGGGAAGAAAAGAAAAAAAAGGAAGAAGGAGGATTGGAGCCCAATAACGCACATGAATACGGAGAGACAGACATACACACAGACAGACAGACATATGAGATTCAAGAAACGCACAGTTAACATTCTCTTCTCTTCTCCACTCCATTTTTTCTCTTAGGGTCAGTCCGTTGCGCTTTGCGCTAAATCCCCCATTTTTTTTTCTTTTTCTTTTTTTTCTTGTGTGTGTGTGTGTGTATTCATCATCTCTCGTGGGTGTTCTATTTTACCGCCTCGCCCCGTATTGCCTCCCCCACCATTCCCCAGTAACGCCTGCCCGTGGTGGGAGCGTATCCTTCTATTTCCCTCCACGGCACTCTGCGACCATCGCCAGCCCGTTCATCCCACGTCACTTTGCTCGCTTGATACATTTCCTTCTTTCCGTTCCAACACAAACAACGTCCTTCTCCTCTCACGCATCACTCATTCAAAAGTGAAGTGGGAGGGAACGATCAATAGACAGCAGACGCACAAAAGCCACAGCCATGAAGACACAGACACACACATAAACACGTGCATAGGTAAAGAATCAAAAAAAAAATGGAAAAAATTGACAAAAAAACTATCTCTCTCTCTCTCCTGTTCTCTTGCTTTAAGCATACATGTATAATGTTCTTTTATGCCTTTTTCTTAGTGTTTTTCTCTGAACTGTTACCAGTGTTGCCACCACCATCCCCTGTTGGTCTGTTGCTCATCCTCGTGCTGTGACGTGCGGCCTCACTGACATTTGCGGGGGATTTGTCTTTAGGACCCGCATTCCCAGCCGTTGTTGTTGCTGTGGTGCTGCCGCCGCTGCTGGAAGTCTGTGGAGCCCCTTTTCTCGGTTGGTTCCGCGCGTGCCTTTTACCCCCGCCACCCCCTTCCCGCGCCATCAGCGAGTAAGGCAACTTCACCCAGTAATAAATGAAAGTGAGCAGAATTGCCACCGTTGATATGATCAGTGTGGCGGCAATGATGCCGTTATAGAACGTTCCCAAACTTCCTTCAGCTGTCGCCAACGTCAAGACTGCTGTTAGGAAACGTTCCTGCAACCCAGCCCAGTCCTTCTCCGTGAGAAGCCCGAAGTACTGCTGCAGAGAGTTAAAAAGACCGTCGACAGTCAGACCGTATGTATGGTGCAGAAAGAAAAGTTGCACCCACACACGCCAAACAAGCTGCGGTAATAGGACCGCTGAAAGGAAAAATGGGGCAAAGATGATCAGAAGAACACACACCGAGAAAACTGTCATCCAGGGCACAAGGGCAAGGGTGATGAACCTCGTGTACATGAGCGCAAGCTCCGCCAACTCCCGCAGGCCACCGTTCTCAACCCCAAACGTTACTTTATTTCTTCGTTGTTGAATCTCATTGTATGCTTGCTGCGACTTTGCACTAAACACTTCAACAAAATCATAAAAGGAGGACACTGCAGACTCATACTCTGCCAGATTAAATAACACCACCCCACGTAGCGTCTCACCGTAGAGTCGCAGGTGTAATGCAACTTTTTCCAGCGCATGAATTGTCTGTCCAAACCACGACTCGGCGTTGGGGTCTGTTCCCCGCAGTGAATCCACCTCCAGAATACACTCGAGTGGCAGTTTGCCGTGCGAATTCAATACCGCCGCGTCAAACTTCTGCGCTGCTGCTGAGGCGGATTCAAATTTGGACCATGCGGCACGGACACGCTCCTGAGTGTCTTCTTTTGGTTCCCGCTGGCCGCCCTTCTCCTCCTCCACAATGGTGCGTGCCTCGTTCAATTCTGCACGCGCCCTCGTCTCAGAGGCAGTAACCTCCGCACGCTGTTTTACGGTCTGCAGCAAGTATGCCTTCACGCCATTTGCGCAACGTCCGCTGCTTGACGCCACGGGATGCCTCAAGACTTTTTCCGCCGAAACGGCAGTCGTGGTTTCCAAAGCGATGAATGCAAAAAGCGCCACCGCAAGCAGCCGCATCCTCCCTCTCCTCGCGCGGTTTGCACTGCCGTTGGGGGAAATAATGCTGGTGCGCATTCTTTTTTTTTCTTATTTTTTATTTATCTACTTAAATGCAAGTTAACTCTTCTTATAGAATATTCTGGAAAAAAAAAAAAGAAGAAAAAAAAGTAGGAGGCGGCGTGCATTATGTTGGTTTACTTCCTCTCAGTCTCTGTCTGTGTGACTTTAGGGGCGGAAGAGAGCCCGGCACAAAAACAAACACATTACAAGCACAGAAGGAAGAAATAATGAAAAACGGCCGTTGGAAAAGACTCACGGCGCCCATTAATCACCGACGCACCGCGGCTGTCGTGAACTTCTTCTCTGAGCTGGTGATAGTCTTCCCGCTCCTACCGGCTCGGTACGCGGCGTCAATGATGGGCAGCAAATCCTCCGCCTCAATGAAAAAGTTGATCTTGTTATTGTTACCCGTGCCCACGTCGACGCGAATGTGTGTGTTGCGGAAAAAGAACATCACAGCAAAGGGTTCCCGGTCGTGGCCCAGTTCGTACATCACATTAAACTCCGGCACCTCCGCTGTCGACACGGCGTACATGACACAGTACTTGCGCACCTTGGGGGCAAGGGCGCTAAGCACCTCGTCCATCTGCCGCGTGGCGGTGAAGTGCACCATCGGCCCCCCACCGCTGGGATCGCCTCCAGCCGACAGCGGCTGCGGTGGTGAATCGTAATGGCTGAAGCGAATCAACACAAGTTTTTCTCCCTCCAGGACAATGTGGCGGTCAACGTCCCACGCGGAGTGCAGGAGCTTTACCTCGGCCATTCTCACCCTCACCTCACACCCTCCCCCTGAGCAGAAATAACGAGAAGAGGAAAAGGATATATTTATTTATTTATTTATTTATTTTTGCAAGAGAAAGAAGGAGAAATAAAGAAAAAAGTGGAAAGAAGTAGAAAAAAACATGAGAACGGAAGCTAGCATACATAAGGCCGTAATGATGTTCATGCATGAACCACTGCAAACTCACACTGTCTCTCCCTCTCTCACCCTTTCGGTGCGTTTGTGTGTTAGTTGAAAGGGGTCATTGGTCATGAGAGAGCAACACGCAGACAAACACAGGCACAGACAACAAGGCAAAAATAAAAATAAAATATAATAAAAAAAACGGAGAATCGTGATGGAGATGTTGCAAGAAACACCTCTCACGCACAGAGAGAAAGGAAATATATATATATATATATAAGACGAAATTTAAAGAATGAATGCCCCATGTTTGTGTATTTTTATTCACTTGTCGCCCTTCCAACCCCAACCCCTGTTGTCTCCGTTATAATTCCTTTTCCGCTCTCGTCTCGTCCAAATGACACATAAGTACATGCACACGGCCAATGCTTTGCCCAGACTTCATCAATTTCAGGATGACATCAGAAAACAGTAGCGGTGGAAGTGCCACGGAACACGTGAATTCCAAAGCCTCTTTCTCCCTCTCCTTTTCTCTCATTTTATGTGTGAATGTCTTCCGGCTTTCACGCCTTTTTCGTCGTGTTGCCATCCTCTCCCCTCCCCCGCTCCTCGTCTTTCTTCGTTATTTTCGTGGAGATCGTCGTGGCCTCAAGCATTGCATCGACCACCACCTGTATCGACCATGAGCGTCTCATGCATTCTGTTGCCTCCTCCGTGTCTGCAAGGAATCGCGACGCCAATCGAGAGGCCCCAGCATGGGGGTTGGGCGAAAGCGCATCCCGCAGGCGACGCCAGGGGAGCTCCGCAAACGTCACCGGCTCATTTACACGCAATTCCTTCTCATGGCGTACAATGCGGTAAAGTTGTTTGCCCTGCACCGCATCATGCGAGGCAACAGTAAGGTGGACACTGCCGTCCTCATCAGGCACGGGAATGATGAAATCGTGCAGCGTCACAGAGCCGGTGGTGCCGTACGCCGTGAGGGACTGTTCTACTGCTCCCACTCCTCCTGATGAGGATGCCGCATCTGCAACATAGATGTATGCCGTGACCTCCTGCGGCCCCGCATCCGTAAAGAGAAGCTCCCCAGAAAACTCCGTTACACAATTCCCCTTCGATTCATCGCGCCTCAGCGCGCGGCCCAACACCGAGCTTGGCATTGCGTAGCGCATGCCGTGCAGAACGGCCGCCACTGCCATCCACCCCCAATTCCCAAGCACACCAAACTGCGAGTCCTCATCATCGCACGTATTGCATTGTGCCATAGCACAGTGGTCATTACACCCACAGCTGCAGCACACCCGTATCGCTCGAAGCGGCCCAACTATGTTATCGCCCGTTCTACTGAACATCTCCCACAGACGCCCCATCCGAGTCCCTTGCATCAGCACCGCGTCGTCCGTGAGAAACAGTCGTTGCACGGCGGCAAGCTCCACCCACTTTTGCAACACGTCACCCGATGGGGCGGCAGGGATAGAAGTAAGAATGTGCTTTCGCTGTCGGATGCACCTTCTCACCCACGAATCCCGTTCCTCCAAGGGAACCGCCACATACACGACATCCACCTCATGGCAAACAACCAGCTCTTCATATGTGCATGCCTTGACCTTCTCATCTTCCTGCGACGCCTCACTAACCGGTAAACCGCCTAGCTTTTGTTGTTGTGCAGCCGTGAGCTCCGTTTGTCGCTCGATGGTATCCTCCAAAAAAGCATTAACAAACTTCTCCGCCTCGACCACATCATCCGCTCCCACGGCCACTAGCAAAAGTCCTGCCCGATTTATGACCCGCAGCGCCCGTCGCGCCGCATTTGACACCCCCAAAATCCCCACGCGTAAAGTGTTGTTGTGGGATGAAACCGGTTGATTGCTCATCATTTTATTTTTTTTTAATTATTTTTTTTTGCGCTCGCTATATTGTGTGTACGACCCTTTCTTTCTCTCTCTCTCTCTGTGTGTGTGTATGTGTTTGTCTGTCCTTCTCACCTCGTAACTCGTGCAGAAGGTGTCTCCCCTTGGATGTGTTGGGGTCAAAAAAAAAACACCCAAACAATAGTGAAAACAACGGAGAATAACAAGAAGTAATGACCACACACACACACACACACGCATACACAAAAATATGTGGCTGGTCGTCGAGTGCCACGGGCGATCCTGTGAAATAATCCAAGGAGCGTTTGTCCCGGGGCGGTGGATACCCAAAAAAATAATAAAAAATAATAATAATAAAAAAAAACATTCGTTATATTTGATTCCTGTTCCCTAAAAAAAAGGAAAAAAAAAAAGAAAAAAGGGGATGGTTGCAAATAACACCTTCATAACTACTACCACCAATAATAATTAACTTCAAAAGAAAAAAAAAAAAAAAGGTCTATGAAATACCGCCAATTCCACCCCTCCCGCAATAAACGGCATCATCCACCACCAACAAATATGCATAGATTAGTTTTTATGTATGTAAGCAAATCCATGCTCTCATTTCTATTATCCCCTTTTATGTCTGTATGAAAGAAAAAATTTAAACAATCAAAAAGTCTCGATTGCTCTCTCTCTTTCTCACTCTCTATCTCTCTCTCTCTCCACCTCTATGGTATCTCCTCTCAGCCGCCGCGAGAATAAACATCAACGAGGTGATGGCGGCTGCACTTGCGCAGAAGCGTGAAGAGATGCAACAGTGACTCTCAAAAAAAAAAGTCATTTTTGTTCTGCCTTCTTTGACGAAGTTGCGGATGTTGCCCCTCCCGCATCTGCCGCCTTGTTCAACGCGGCAACGCGCCCAATGCGCTGGTATGAACTCCACCAATCGTTATCCTGCAATTTGCATAATTTATCGATGTCAAAGCTGCTCCACTTGGCCTCGCAAACACCGGGCCTGTATTTCATGGGACACTTCTTACTGGCCTCCACCCACGCATCCAGCAGCTCCTCCATAGCGGGCCGTCTCAACGTTTGGGCGTCACGGAAGTGATAAGCGATGCGGAATGTGTTGATGCCAAGTTTAATCCATGAGCGCCAGTCACCAACGTCCACCTCCCGTGTTCCGGTGCGGAGCCACATCGAGACATTCTCCACCGCCTCTCGCTCAGTCAGAGGCAGTAAAATCGGTGGGATTTTCGAGGCGCCATTCGCAGCCCCGGTGGCATCTTTATCGGCCCCCTCTTCAGGCACAAGAATCATTCGTGGGGCTTCAAAGTGAAGTAGACGAGAATACGTCCCACTCTCGCGGACGCAAGCGGAGTGCAACGCCGCAACAGGGTCGGGTACGACACCATTAGGGAAGCCAATATTCCATTTTTTATCCTCAAAAACAGTAATGGCACTTGTATGATTTTCTTTCATGCAGCGGTGCATTCGCAGCATTCCGTTCGGGCGGTAGATTTGTAAATCCACTTGAGGAACTTTTTTATGAAATCGATAAAGAAACCCGTGAAGTGATTCATAGTCCTCAAAGGCCACGTCTTTTAGTTTTGTGTGTACATGAAAGGAAGCCTTCTTGAGATTTGGTGATTGTAAAACAACCTGAGAAGCAATTTTCTCCCCAATTGCTTCAATCTCTCCCATTACCACCGTCATGATATCATCCAAAACCTTCTTTTGGAATGGACGAATCTTTGACATGCTCCAGTGTTCTTGTGGCACAGGGCAGTCAATGTCGAGCACCAAGTCAATGGGTGTCTTCTTCCGACCAAATATGGCGTGCACGGTGCGAATGGTATCAGGCATGGTCGATACTGCATTACTGGCAACAGCAAGCGGCGTACCGGGCCATGCAAAGAATTGACAGCCACCCTGCGGAAGCCGCCGTGCAAATACCCCATCATCTGGTGTACAAGCTGAAAGCACATCTTCAATACGAAAGGCCTTAATCATCGGCGTTTTCTGCTGCGACGCATCACTTTTCTCGGGTTTGGAGGGAGAAGCCTCGGCAGGGGCGGCAGCCTTCGCTACCACCTTTTCTTCTTTCCTATGCACTGTTTTTGGTTGTTTATGCATTTCCGCATCGGGGGCATCGACAGGGGGAGATGCCTCCTTTTCTTCCTCCCTCACTTGGCTGAGAGACTTGGGCGGAGAAGCCGCCTTCAACAATTTCTTCTTTTTCTTCTTCATTTGCTGTCCCTCCGCCTTTGGAGGGTCTGCGTCGGGGCTTGCCTTCCTGACGGTCTCCGCTGGCATCTCCGCCTCACGCAATGGGGTCTCCCCAGAGTCCTTTGTTGCCATGACTTCGGTGTGGAAGTGATCACCGGCCGTCACTTCTGCCTTTGCCGCCTTCTGCTTCCTCATCCTCTTGGCTATCTTCGCGAGTTTTGTCGCCACGACAGGCTCCGTGTGCGTCTTCTTCGGCATCGCGCCTTCCGCTGCCGCACGCACCGACACTGCCGCCGCCTCCGCATCAGCGGCCGACGCAGACGTCGCCTTCGTCTTTGAAGAAGAAGAGGCGTGCTTCGTGGCGGAGGTCACTGATGATTTTGCTTTTGCGTCGGCAGCCTCCTTCCTGGCGTTGATGCTCGCAAGCTCCGCAATCAGCCGCTTTGACGCCTGCCGCACGGAAAAAGAGAAGCGAAACATTTCCACCCCTCCCCTCCTCTTCCCGGCTGTTCCTCCCAATTCAACCCGCCCTTCGCGTATTTTGTGTGTCTGTGCGGGGGACGGGGGGGTTAAAAGTATGCAGACGACCCCACTTCGCTTCCGCAATGAATGAATGTCCTCCGCGCCCTGTCCTTTCCTCCCGTCTTGTCACCTCAACAACAATCCCACTGACAAAGAGCGCAGGCACGGACACACACATACACACACAGTCAGAAAGAAGCATAAAAAAAAAACAAGTAAAAAAAAAAGCAAGGTTTGGCCGCGTGGAGAACAGAAACAGTTGGCTACCAGTGATTTTGACAAGGGGGAAAGCGCAAGTTGATTTACCGCAAAGAACATGACATTGAGAATCAAAAGAAACAAATCGAACAACAAATAATGTAAAGTAAACACACACACACACACACACACACACACATGGAAAACTGCTAATCGCCGCTGTTCCTGCCACCCATCAAAATTTCAAAAACAGAGGGCATAGTAAGTGAATAAGAATCATTGACATCTCTGTCCGATGGATGTGCAACCTTCGCTAAACAGCGTTACACCCCAAAAACAATGCAAACAAAGCACATAAAGGGAAAAAGCAGAGTACTTACACAGGCCGCTTTCCTCATCCTGAGGTTATCAATCACAGAAAACAAAAAGACCGGAACGAGAAGGGTTGAATGGAATAAGAGTGGGTTCACCACATCCTCAAAATTTACACCAAGTAAATGTATGTATGTATATATCATCCATTGGCCACAATTGTGGTCCGCTCACTCTACTCGGATTGGATACATATATAATTTCTTACAAGTGTCAGCCTGTTTTGTGTCCCCCAAACACAAGACCCCGCCGCTGCCCTTCGCCACTTCCACCCCTTCGCCAAGTGCTGAAGTGTAAAAACACGACCGCGTGATATGCCGTCTGCGGGGTTGTCCGCAGACCGCACGTAGGCAAAGGATGCATGTATTCCGCGAGAGTCAACAAACTCATATATCCGTTGCAGCTCCCACGTCATGGAGTGTGATTTTGAGCTGCCTTTATTCGCCGCTCCTCGCAGCGAAGTGTTGTCCACCCAAACGTCCATAGTGGATGGCAAGATGGCGGAAAAAGGCCGATAAGGCTAAGCGTACCGCGCATGCCTCCGCCTGCATGATAAGAAAAGGCTTCCTCTCCCATTTCCCCCGGCAAGTTTAACGTCGCCGGAGTATGGAATAATAACGGCTCCCCATCCACAAAACAATGCATTTGTGATGATGGCGGCCACTGCCTTTTCCGTGGGCTTGATGATTCGCTTACGATTATATTCTCGATGCTGTGCCGCAATCTCTCGCCCAAACCAACCGCTGCTGGTGGAGGTTTGCCGGGGATGTCTCCTGCACAATCCCCCGGTTAAGTGCCGATAACCGTCGTCGCACTGCCTTGATGAAAAAGTAGCAGTCAAATAAACGCCTGAACAAAAGTGGCAGCCGCGTACAAAAAGCGTGACGCCACAACCTCCATTTCCGCGATGGTTAAATACTTCAGCGACGGCATGGCGCATAAACACCGGACAAACTTGTCACTCAGGGACACCGCCCGGTGTGTGTGATCAAACCGCACCACAGAAAGATTTAATGCGTAGCGCCCGATTCGCGTTCCTCCATCGTAGCGTGACGGCCATCCGCATCACAAAGCACCTGGGCTTCCCACAATGTCACATCGCTTTTCGGCCCTGCAATGCGTATATCATCGATCCATACGTCGATACGCAACAATGGAGGTGCGGCTCAGAGGCGGTGAGCCACCGTCGTCACCACCGCAATTGCCGAAGTAATAATAATCCGGAAAATTTCTGGGCCGGCCTTGTGTCCCATTGGGAGCCGTGTGAGCTCCACCAGCGTGCCGTCCTTCACGCGGCATCGAAAGAGATGCCGAGTTTCCGCAGCAACAAAGACCGGAAAAAGGATGCCCTTAATTCCACGCAGAAAGCGGCCTCAGTCATCACAGGTGACAAATAATGGGAAATGTGTAAAAGAGGAGCATGAGCCTCGTAAGGGTCGTCTCTCCTCTCGTCGCGTGGCCACGCGATCCATCGTCGTCGCAAACCGGTGGTTTTCTCCTCCACCACAGAAAAGGCTTTATCCATCCGCCGCTTGTTACTGTGAACGATGCGTCCACTATTATTCCCGCTTCCTTCATTAATCGCGCGTCAGCGACTGGAATCCTCCGTGAGCCTTCGCGCGCGTTACCGGAGGAGGATAAAGGTAAAGGGGACCGCCCGACGAGTCCCCACACTTGCATGAGCCTCTCCCAGGTCGCCGGGTTCAACCGGCTCTGGATCCACTCCAGATTCAATACGGGCACATTGACTTGTTGCTGTAGCGGGATGACTCGTTCCTCTTGTGGAGTGGCCAGGCGCTTCCTTTTCGTGCGTCTTGTTATTGTAGACGCATGGTGATGAAATTGATGGAGAAACGCTCCTCTGCTCTCAAACAGGGTTCCTGCCCTTCCGCAGTTTCTCCCTCCACATCAATGCGACCAGCGACGACACCTGGGTCAGCATTGTGGTGTACCTCCCCAAATATCGAACAGTACTCTGGGGAAGGTCAAACGGGTCGACGTGCACCGCCAACTGCGAGATCACGTGTGGATTCAAATTGCACGTCTCCAAGATTTGAGCAGCGTGCCTCAACGCACCGCGTTCTATGGAATGCGCCGTGGCATTTCAAGGAGCCAGAGCTCGTTCGACTTTGGCAGTCGTAATATTCGTGAGTTTCTCGTTGTGTCCTGCATAACTTTATAATGTCGAAGGCGTCCTGCCCTCGTATCCTGACGAACCGAAAGGCGCGGTGGGGATCCGCCCTCGCCGTCCTCGGCGCCACGGGCCAATCCAAAATTAAGGTCCCGTCCGCCTCCAGCGTGAAATTTTTGGGAGTCAAGGCCGCAATCTCGGACCAACAGCTCGCCGTTATCCACGCAAGTCGTAAGAAAACACGTTCCCTCCAATCGGTCCGGCTGCGAATATATTGATCCATCTCTTCCTCTGTCGAGGGGTGCGTCTGCTCCGTCTCGGTTCGCGCCGCAAGTTTTTGTAGCCCCAGAATCACCATGTCCAGCGGGGTTCAATCCATCTGCAACATGGACCGCAGCATCCTGGCGTACTGCCGCCGGGTCGATGGCGCCACGCAGACTATTGCCGCCAAAAAGGCCGCGCAGCTCTCCTCGTTCATCGTGCGTTCGTGCGTGCAGCAAAAGGTGGTAAATTGCCCGCTAGGGACATTCTCTGCTCCCACGTTGACGGCGCACACATCTCTCGAGCCGCCTCGTTCGCTCTCCTCATGTAGCTTGTCCAAAGCGGGGATGTCGGTAATTCGTCGTACAACAGTCGAGCATCGTTGGCGGATGAGCTCCATTGCCCTTCTCGTCGGTTGATTCGGGTGATTCGAAATATCAGACGAAGCGTCTTTGGCACGGTGCGACGTCTTGTGTGCGGATTGGTGGGAGGTGGCGGATTGGATGGGGCTGTATTCTTCCGCCCTCGTAAGCAGCCGGCAGCCCCTCGCCGTTTTTTAATGGCGGACTGCGCTGCGCACGTTGCGTGTAGATGCGTCGTGTCCATAAATACGACACAACTGAAATCGCAACAATCGTTGTTTTTGTTGGGTTGCGCGCCGCTCCAGAAGAGGCTGGGTTGCCCTCGCGAAGGTGTCAGCCTCGTGAACGGCCATGTGAAGGCGGGCACGAAGTGTGGAGGGCGGGATATGCTGGGGTCGGTTGTTATCGCGATCAGCGTCCGGAAGGTCTGCGGCAGGGCCCTGCCGAAACCCATGAGCTGATCGCTGGGTTCCCGATCCATCTCCAGTGCGCGTCTGCACGACACCAAACCGTCGATGGCCATTTGAACCTGAGAGCCCACTTAGTGCAAATAATAACCGTATGCGCATCGGAGGTTGACGAGGACTCCGGAGACGACGTCATTCCATACACGCGGGGCCCAAGTGTCAACGTCCAATGCAAGGAAATGCAGTAACTGATCCTCTGCACCGGAGCCATCTTCCAAGGGGAAGGTGCGGGAGGGCAAAGGCATCGAGTGAGGGAGACGTGGTCGCCCAAAACTGCCCTGAGACGTATGGGTGTTGACCCGCCGTCTCTCTCCCGTGAGATTGCGTTGGGGAAACGTGGATGCTGGCACGCCCCCAGCCATCAAACGATGCCGTTTGTGCGGCTGTGTGCTTACGCCGTCTGACGGCCCTCTCCGAGAGGTGGGCGCCTCGCGTTGACACGGCGTCTCCGCGTCCCGCAAGAAGACCGCCGGCCACCGCAATGTGAGATCCGCGTGCCAACAAGTGATTATGCGCTTCTTCCACCTGAGAGTGAAGCTGAGCACTCCGATCCGCAACGCCCGCGACGGCACTGGCGTAGTCGGTGCTCAGTCTCTGTCCTCCAGCAATGATCAGCCCTTGCTGGACCCCCAACTCCCGGGCAGCACACACACGATGGGCAGCAGCACTCGAACCTCGAAATTAGATACTTGAGGCGCCCGGCGATTCGCAAAGTGCCCCGCAACGGTCGGCTCCTCCCAGTGCATGGCGATGTCTCCTGAACCCAAGCGTAAGCCTGTCATTGTTGCGGCGGCGGCTACCACCGCATCCAACGGCCCGTGTTCATCAACGAAGGCGAGCTGCACCCGTACATCGCCATGCTGGCGTGCCAAGTCCAGCATGCGGGCACCAATGTCGCTTCTCCCCGTCGCCGTGTAAAGGAAAACACCGCCATTCCTTTCAATCAGCTTGCAGGGATCCCTTGTGGCTGTGAGAACTAAAATAATTACAAATCGTCTGGACACTAACAGTTCCCTGATTCCCTCAGTGACGGTCAACCAAAGATTCACAAAATAGAAAAGGATCGTGGAGAAGTATCTCCGTTTTACCAGGACACACATACATTAGGGACGCCAGCCCACCTCATGAGCATCCTCCTCACAAGCTCCCAATGAAACAAAGACGTAT